TTTGAAGACCATTCCGAAGCTTCAATTGATCCACAATACAGTGCTACAAGCAGTGATAATATTGCCTCAGCTTGCTCACATGACATCTTTCTGCTCTGTGAACTAGACTAGTTGCCTGTGTTTCCAGGTGCAGCTCAAGGTGCTGATTATTATCTACAAAGACCTAGCCTAGGTGGCAGACCCTGGTTATTTGAAAAACCACTGGTCTTCCTTGGTTTCTGCCTGTATAATATGATCTAGTAAGGTGGCTCGTTCCACGTCTGTTGCATTTCAGGAAGCAGGAAAACTGACTTGCCCTTTAGAATAGGGTCCCACCCAAGATCCATATGATCCCCCTTTCTGATGCCTTTCTGGAAGGCCTTGAAAACTTGATCATTTACCCAGGATTTTGGATAGAGAGGATGGGATACTGGTTTGTAATGTTTTATATCTGCTACTTGGACTGACATATTACACTTATTTTTGCAATTATTTTTGTCCATGTGGGTGAGTTTTTCATATTTTGTCGGTTTTAATGTTGCTCTTACAATCAGGCAGCATCCAAATTGAATGGATGAATAAACCAACTACCGGTGTTTTACTCGCTCCCTGTACCTAGCTTAGAGTTATCAAGAGGGCCTTAGCCTGTGACCCAAATGCAGATCTCCAGGCTTCTTAGCTACTACCACTTCCAGACCTTTACAAGATGTGCTCCCTCACCCCCCAGCTCTTCAAACCGGTTAATGTATTGTTTGCCCCATCCAGCTCTGTCTCACAGCTGAAAAATTGAAGGGAACTTTGTACAGATCGTACAAGAAAAGTATCTCGATCATATTAAATTTCTCCCCTATTGCACTAGGACTTTTCCTCTTGATGGAAAAAAACCCCACAATCCTTTCTCCCAGAGTCTGGTTCTACTCAACTCTGCAATGGAGGGTACCAAGAAAATTCAACTAAATAATTTGGATTATGAGAGGAAAAGTCTCTTTCTGAACCAGACATTTCTAGAACCACTGCAATGGAAAACGGCCTCATTCCCAACACTTGTCAGGATCTCTTTTGTCAGAAATTAAGAATATAAAACACAGCAACAACCGAGAACAAATTCTGTTTTTATTTCCGGGTCTCTGCAGGGCGATGCTTATTTGTTTGGCTCAAGTTCAAACTAGGTAGAGTCCATCAATGCTTACATGGTTCATAGAGGTTGTCTGAAGGCTCACTGAAACTTCGAAGGATGAGTAGTTATGGGAACAAGCCTTCCAAACCCCAAAACACAATTGACAAGCCAGGAGGCATATCTCAAATGTTCCTATCCTCCTTTGCCAATCCAGATGCTGGCCTATTGGTTGGGCAAACTGGGACTGTCAGATCTATCTGAAGAACGCTAGGTTGGAAAACGGAAAGCAGGCCTACATCCTGTATCATCTGGTTGCAATGCAGTATGCCTGTTTTATTTATAAATCAACCATTATTAGATGACGTTGAAATTGAGTTTAACATAATTATACATGGCCTTCAGTTGTGACTGGCAGCTGAATTATGCAAATTGAGGGGGGGGGAATCAAAAGCAATTTTTGCGTCAGGTTCTTTATACATGCACCCATTGCCTGATGCTGCAGTCACCCTGTGAGAACCAGCATTTTTTTTTGTGCAGCTTTTGTGCCTTTCTCCACTGAATACCGTAAAGGAGACTTAGTTATTATAGACTTACCTGCACAGCTACAAAACCTTAATTCTGTTTTTTCCCTCAGAGAACCACCCACTCAAACGCTTAATGAAAAGACACCGTTTGATCTCTTTTTATTTCTTTAATTGCAGTTAATACAAAGATTCCAAAAATAGAAAGAGTTCATAATGGCAACAAGTGCCAGCTTCAAGTTTTGGGATTTTTTTTTCAATTAAAACATTTAAAAAACAAAAAAAAAAAACAAAAAAAAAAACCCAGCAAGTGAGGACATGTGATAAATTTGTACAGTTTAATGAGGAGAAGGGAAAGGAGAAGGAGAAACCTGGAGGCTCTTTTTCTTCAAAGGCCAACAGCTTCCACTTCTTGTATGAAATGGGAGCACCAAACATGACTGGATGTAAAAAGGTACCATAACAAGCGTGGATAGATTTATGTGTGTATGTATCTTTAGTGTAGTCAGTACATGGGGCAGCCATTAAAGGCCTGGCCCTGGTAAAGTGCTGGGGCCGCCTCTTGGCTGGACTTCTACCCTCATTAACCATGGTTCAATCAAGGCACAATCCCAACATGGTAGTTTGGACCCAGGAATCCTTATGGCTCTAAAACATGATTTACAATCTTGACTCAAGAGTGGGAAGGAGCATTTATGGGCAACATGGCAGGCACTGCTACATACTGAAGTCCTACAGCCACGGTTTTTCCCTCCACGCAGGATTGTCCAAAGGGATTCATCACCCCGTCCGCATGACTCTCAGCCACCCACTTCTTTGCCGACCTTGGTTAAACCAAATATCCCCCAAAATCTGCCTATTTCAGATCAGACTCGTTTCATACAGATCCCTCATACACACCAGGACTGCGATGTTGCCCACTGTAATTCAGAGAGGAGAATAAATGGGCTGCCTTCTTCTCATCTTAATCCCACCCTCTTTAAGGCTTTAAAAAAAAGTTATTTCTGCAGCAAACATAAGAGCATGTTGGACTACAATCCCCAGCATCCTTCACCAATGACCATACTGGCTAAGGTTACTGGGAATTGGTTTTCTTTTCTTTTTTCTTTTCCCTTCAGGGGGCAGCATCTAACCTCGGTCCAACAAAGGACTAGAAACCTGTTTCATCATGAAGAAAAGGGCTGGGGCAGCTGCTGGCATGAGAAGGAGGAAGGGAGGAAGGAAGAGAGAGGCAATTGGTCTTCCGCTGACACAAAGCAAAAACAAAGCTGTGAGAATAGGAAGGGAAAACAAAAAAAGGTTTGTTCTTTCCAACATTCATTAACTTTTAACAGCTCCTCCCGGCTTGTGTGCGTAAGCAGCAGCTGGCTGAACTGCAAGGGAGGGAAAGAACTTCCTTGTTGGTGTCTGAAATTGGAAACCTATCCCCCCCCCTCCTGCCCTCCCCCAAACACAGGAATCCAGACCCTAAGCAAGGGAGATCAAACAGGACCAGAAAAAATGAAGCCAGGAAAAAATCGGGGAGCAGGGCCCCGTCCCGTTCAAGAACTGATTGAAGTTTGACTAAGTGTGCACACACAGTCTCAGGACTCCACTGAAGACCAATCAGCACACTTAAAGCCAGGATGAAAATATAAAGTTGCATGTTGGTCAGGCTAACAGCTGGCTGGTCAACCGAATAGCAGAGCTCAAAGCTTTGGTCCCCGAGGGGATGAGATGACCTGCAACTTGCCCGCCACCCCCTTAGCCAATAAGGCAGCACTATTTTTATTTTTTTTAACAAAGAACCCCATGGACTCTACCCCTCTTTGCTACCAAGCCCTACACTGCCTAAACCCAGATTCCCTTGCAATGTGTTGCTGATGGTGGAGAAAAAGGGAGGGAAAAAAAAGCAAGCTGGCATTGTTGATCCATTGGGTGGCACTTGAGAAACACACGTTCCACAGTATGTCAGGCACAGTTCGAGAGGACAGGAGGACCTTAACACTAGGAAGAACAAAACCAATGCCCGCTCCCTGCAATATAAATATTAACAAAAAAAATCTCCAACTACTTTTGGTTGCTTGGAGCTGAAACCAGCTGAAAATGTATTTGGGGGGTGGGGGGGGAGAGAGAGCGGGAAATAGGAGAGGCCACACCAAGGAGGCACAGTTGCTTGCTGCCAAGCAGCTGCAGCACAGAGACAGCAAGGCAGTTGTTAAGGCAAATGATATGAAGCAGGCTTGTGCGTACAGGGAAAGTCTCCTAGCTTCAAACAGATTCATCCCCAACTCATTGCCACCTTCCAAGGGGCTAAGGACTGTCACGTTACGGTGATGGAACCCAGAGCAAATCCCGAGTGGGAAGCTATGCCTTCAGCATCATCAAGCAAGGTAAAACCACCAGGGGACAAACATCAGAATCCTTCCATCTTCCAGGCAATCCTTCACACTGAAAGACAGCGGAAGAACTGGCTTGAGGATAGGCACCCTACTGACCTGGCGGCCTCCTAGCTGGGTGCCGCTTAAGGCAATGAAATCACCTCCTCCCCCCTCCCCCCAAAGAAACAGATCAAAGCTGGAGTGTAGGGACACTTCAATCTTTGAGCAAATAAGGAGTGTGGGACTGGCTAGCTCTGTCCTCACTTAATGCTATGTCCTACTAGAGTTGGGGGGGGGGGATCCTTGCAAAGGGTTTTCTATGTCCGTGGATCTCAACCTTTCCTCCGAGGCAAAACACAACTGCAAGACAGAATGTTAAAACAAATAAAACACCCCACACGTGAGAAAGGATTCCCCAAAGCCAGCAGGGGCAATGAGGGCTGGAGGCGCGAAGCAAAGGTAGCTTCACAAAAACAGGCGAAGAAAGCAACCACTTCAAAACAACCCAGAAAGATCCTGTAGATCAGAAGATCAGGCAAAAGCAGAAATATCTGAAGAGTATAGAGGAGGCCATCTTGACTCCCTGCCAAGAGATGACCGGTCTCCACATATTTTCACGGGGGGGGGGGGGCTGTGTAAGAAGCACTGCCAAGAATATGTAAAAGCAAGTGAGGAGGATGTACCTTTTAAAGAATCCATCCAAAACATTTGGCATTGCCTTGGGGAGGGAGGAGGGGAGGGAGGGAGGAAGGAATCCCCTAAAGGTTGGGGTGCAGTGCATAGATACTAGCACTATTGGGAATGGGGTGGGGTTATTTTGGATGTCCCTGCTCTTGATGGAAAGGCTAGAAGCTCTAGCATCCAGCCATACCCTGGTTGGAAACTGCTCTGGCATCGCACAGAAGGCGGCCAGGGCAGATTATTGCCTCCAAAGTGCTTGTATCTGCCTTGTGGCAGGGTGATGGGGAGCAATTGCACTGTTCCCTTTCCCTCCTGGCCAATACTGAAGGCACAGAGTGAAAAAAAAAAAGGAGTTTCCCCAGTGGCCACAGCACGAGGAAAATGTTAGGGTGCCCTTAGTTGGCCGAGGCTGGTGTAGACATCTTCTGCTCCGCTCAACTCCTCAAACACAGGAATCAGGTTCAGCAGCTCAGTGTCTGTCATGTCATCAAACCAAGACTGGACCGGCACCTACAGGACAGTTAGGAAGATAAAGAGAAATCCATCAAAAGCGTGCAGGCAGGGAACAGGGCATCATATTTTGGAAAAATAAAGCAGCCCAGGCAAAACTTAGGATTTGGGGAGTGGCATTAAAATGTAACAGCAATTATTTCACTCTTGGCTACACTCCCTTTTGGCCCCTCTGGGTCAGGCCAAGGCTAGTTTCTCGTTGTTGTTGTTGCCGAAGTCGTGTTCGACCCATCGTGACCCCATGGACAACGTTCCTCCAGGCCTTCCTGTCCTCTACCATCTTCTGGAGTCCATTTAAGCTCACGCCTACTGCTTCAGTGACTCCATCCAGCCACCTCATTCTGTCGTCCCCTTCTTCTCTTGCCCTCAATCTTTCCCAGCATTAGGCCCTTCTCCAGTGAGTTTCTCATAGTGATGAACAGATGCTCTGGGAGTCCTAGTAAGCTAGAGATGAGGATATAAACCTCCCTGCTCTTCCCCCCTCCCCCGTAATGGGCATTTGGGGAGATGTTGCTCCCAAGTTGGGAGGCCATGTTGATATTTTTAAGACCTATCTCCCTTGAGAGACCGGTCTTTCAGGAATTTAGTCAAGCCTTTTAAAAGCTGTCCAAGTTAGTGCCTATTAGCATATACCGTGTTAATGAATTCCATTACTTCATTATGGATTGTGTGAATAAGGGAAGGGGGGTATTTCTGTTTTTCTCCTTCCAATCCAATTCGGCTGGATGGGCCCTGGCCCTTGTGTTTTGAGAAAGGAAGAAAAATAAATAAATCTCTGCCTAGTTAGAAGTGATGGTAGTTTTCCTACACCGGAGAGTGAAATCTGAGAACTGCTTAAAGTTGGTTTTAAGAAAAGGGAAGATATTTCAAATATTAAAGAGGGAAACAAAGTGGCCTGTCACTGGGATGATGCCACTTTAAAATGCAAGAAGCTAGACAGTGGCTGTAGGAACACCAGTCAACAAGAGGGAATCAGCTGAATTCTTTCTGATTATAATCTTGGTGTATAGGACAACATTCAATAAACTGGGAAAAGAATCAGAGGAGGGACTTGAGAGAGAATTTTTCAGTCATCTCTACACGAAGACTAGAAAGTCTTGCAATGATGAGGCAACAAAGAAGATTAGCAACTGCCTCCACACTGTTCCTATAAGTGTCTGGCTAGGAATCTGAATAGAAGCATGTCCCCCATTTTGTCACTGAAGAGGGAATGTCATTCCCAAAGCAGACCATCCGTCATTTGTGTTTGGCTCAAGAATGCAAATGTCACAATAAAGACCACCTTAAAGGGAGAAGCAAGGGAACAACTCTTGAAGACGCTATTTATTTTTTTAAAAAAATTCTTCCCCAAAACCAGATTAAAATGGTTTTTTTTTTTAGCCAAGCGATCTTTCAAAATCAGAGCTACAAATTAATCCACTCCTTAGCCATCGTTTACAGAAGATTAGAGAGGAATGCCCACCGCATTCTCTGGATGGAAGATGTAAGAAGCTGGAGAATTATCCAGGATCAGGGTTTTGCGTAGATCACGGCCCAGCCGGCTGAGATCCTTCACGTAACATCCCTGGTGGAACACGCACGACTCCCGGAAGAGGCGGGTCCGGAAGACTCCACACTTGTCCAAAAGGTCAGTCACTGGGTCAGCATACTGGCCAAAAGGAGAGCAAAAGAGATGAGGAGTCTGCTTTTGGCACAGAAACAAAACAATCACAGTCAGGATAATCTGAACACTATGCCTCTGCAACTAGGTCCCATAAAAGCAAAATTTGTTACTTGGCATTGATATTTTTTAAATGAAGTTTTGTGGGATTGGCTATCTTCTCTCTCTCATCTCCTGTTTTTATAAATCACTCAAAGTGGTCAATCATAGCTAATACTCCTTTTCCTCCTATTTTCCCCACCTACGTGAGGTGGGCTGGGCTGAGAGAAAGTAACTGGCCCAAAGTCACCCAGTCAGCTTTCATGCTTGAGGCAGAACTAGAACTCCCAGTCTCCTGGTTTGTAGCCTGGTGCCTTAACCACTAGACCACTTTTTTTGGGGGGGGGGTAATGCCTCAGTGAGGACAACAATCCTTCCAAACATGTTGGACTTCAATACTAGGAATTACTTTTGGCGTGTTAAATAGAAATTTCGGTGGTTAAAATAACCATATCTATAAAACACCCACTTCAACAAGGCTGCCATATGTATGTGTATGTCAACTTTAGAATGGCCATCTTTTCCCCTCATTCCTAGTTGCCACATAGCAAGGAGGGGGGAGGGGTTGCCAGGTGTTGCACTAGACAAAACAGACTTTCTCTCTTGGACTTTCTCTCATGGGAACCAAGGTCATCGGCTGCTCCCAAGATTGCAGGCTGGGCGTTTCATGAAAAGCCCGCCAACAAGCTGGGTGGGGAAACATAGTTGCTTGCATAGCTTTGGGAGTGGGATTTCTTAACTTTGTATTGGGGAATTGTTATGTATCTCTTCAGACTTGGTTTCACTTTTGAAGTTCCGATACTTTGTAATCAATAAACATGTTCTTTGAGGAATTTGTAAGCCTCGGAGTTCTGCTTTATTTGTCTCTGTTGATCGGAATCTTGACAGTGTATGTATGTATGTGTATGTATATGTATACACACACACATATATACACATATATATATACACACATACATACAATACAATACACACACACACACACACACCTTCTGCGCTCAGTTATAAGGATTTAAACCCCCTTGTTGTTGTTAGTTGCGAAGTCGTGTCCGACCCATCACGACCCCATGGACAACGTTCCTCCAGGTCTTCCTGTCCTCTACCATCTTCTGGAGTCCATTTAAGCTCACGCCTACTGCTTCAGTGACTCCATCCAGCCACCTCATTCTCTGTCGTCCCCTTCTTCTATTGCCCTCAATCTTTCCCAGCATTAGGCTCTTCTCCAGTGAGTCCTTCCTTCTCATTAGGTGGCCAGAGTACTTGAGTTTCAACTTCAGGATCTGGCTTTCTAAAGAGCAGTCAGGGTTGATCTCTTCTAGGACTGACCGGTTTGATCGCCTTGCAGTCCAAGGGACTCGCAGGAGTCTTCTCCAGCACCATAGTTCAAAGGCCTCAATTCTTTTGCGCTCAGCCTTTCTTATGGTCCAGCCATACATTGCAACTGGGAACCCCCTGCAAATCTATAATTACATCTTACCAATTTCACAAAATTGAAGTCACAATTTCCTTCTTATTATAGCACCAGGCAACTTTGAAAACATCAGGCAAGCCATATGTCCGGCAAAGCTTTCTGCAACCCACTCACCTTAGCTAAGCTGGCAGTGAAGAGCACACACTCAAACAGCTCCCCCATCCGCCTCAGGAATTCATCTACAAAAGGCCGCTTCAACACATACACCTAGAGATTAACAGAAAGGTGAGGAGATGGTACACAAAGTACTGGCGTACATATCTGCAGAGTGCTTTAGAACTGGCATAGTTGAAGGTCAGGTTTAATTCCAGTGTTGCCAAAATATGCAAAGCATGGCAAATATTTTAAGCGTGAAGCAGTAGATGGAAAAGAGTTGGCAGAATGCTTCTCCGACCCATAATCCTTTTTTTTATAATTTTTATTAAACATTTTCTTAAAAGAAGATAAAAACTAATGCAAACTAGCATAAATGAGAAAAACCAGAAGAAGAAAGAAATCAAAGAAAAAAAAAAGCTAAAAACGCAAGAAAGGAAATAAAAGTAAAAGAAAAATAGGGAAAAAAAATACAAAGAAATAATGTCAAGTCTTCTTTACAGCGGTTATAAGTCTCATTATACATTTATCTCTTACTCTTAAAGGTTACAACATAGCTCTCTTCTTTCTATAATCTCTTCTGTCTAATCAACAAATCCATAAATCATAAGTACAGTTTATTTCTGTTTCATGCAAAAAGTCCATAAAGGAGTTTCCAAACCGCAATAAATGTAGATATTGTCTTTACTCTGGTCAGGGATCCAACCCATAATTCTTGTTTCACAATCCATCCCACCACATACTCTTCCCTTCATTACTCAGGCTTCTTTTATCCCTTAGGGTCTGACACACAGGGGCAAGTCACGTAGGGAGAATAACAGCATTTCCAGACTCTATTCATTATTATTATTATTTGGCAAGCATCCAGTTACAGAGATCTGTGTTGGCTCAATAAATGAATGAAGGAGTTGGGGGGAAACTTTAGCAGGACTGGAAATCTAACTTTGCAAGCATAATAAGTGCTCTCAGCCTAAGTTCTGGAACAGCTGCAACAAATCTTTTTTTTTCTTCCCCCTTTCAAATTCTGGGAATTGCATTCCCAATGCATCTTGAAAATACAATGTTTTGGAAGGTTGCCTTAGGCATCCAGTGTCTGATCATCTTAGAGGTGAGAAGCTCCTGGAGGAAATGTGGAATATAAATCTAACAAATAAAATAAGAAGGGAAGGGAAGAAGGGCAAATCGCTACGATGGAACCTCATACTGTTCCTCCCCAGTGTCACCAATGAAAGAACTGGTTGAGGTATCAGCCTTGGACAGGGAGACCTCGGTTCAAGTCTCTGCTCAGCTATTACACTCAACAGAAGATACCACATCTTAATCTAAGGTATCTTTTTTTTTTCTATAAAGATAAAAAAAGGCAGGAAGTATCACCTACCTAAATTCCTTGGAAGAGAGAATATATAATATGAACAGGAATCATATAATTATATTTACTCTTGGAAGCAAGCAGATATGCTATCAAGAAAGGTTTGTTCTCAAGAATGTTCTCAAGTTCTCAAGAAAGGTGCATTTATAATCTGCTGTATATTCTCTATAAAGGACATTCCCCCAAAAGGAGCAAGGAGACAAGTTGCTGGACGGTGTTGCGTAAAGGTCTTAAGGACCTTTACTTATTTTAAAGTGGGTGGTTCCTTGGTGTACTTATTAAGAAGCGGCACCAGCTGGCCGGTTCATGATGATCTGCAGAATCTTTTAAGTTACATTTCCAGCCTTTGCTACAGCCCACCAATTTAAAATCTGCCAAGTCCACTGCAAGAACACCTTTCTCTTATTGATAGGCAAGGAGTAAGCTACGTTATTAGAAACCAACTGCAGGCTTATTTAGCTACTATGTCAGACATTTTAGGGAGCAGAGAACTGAAACAAATGTAGATTAACTCCCAACAGTCCTTGGTGGTCTCTGCCATTCTTCACCTGGTGACTTTTCCTCTCTGGAAGCTCCTGCTGTTGCATCATCCAATCAGGGAGGTCACTATGGTAGAACCTCATTCCTACGTTGCAAGAAGCCGCCTCCTGAAACAAGTAATCAAGAATAGGCCGTGTTGCCTGGTAACAGCCTATCCTGGATTACTTGAACCAGGCTGAGGCCTTCACCGCAGGCCTTCCTCCTCTTCTCTTTTGCAGGTGGTCTTGGCTTAAGAGAAGATGCCTAAGCACACACTTGGTGCCAGGAGCGAAACAGAGCCAAACCCATCCAACTCCCAACGGTGTAAAGCAAGAGGCTTACCTCATGAGTTGTTCCCTCTATCTCAACCGGCACAATGAAGTCAGCGTTGTTGATTGGCTGAGAATTTTGTTAAAAGAGACATGTTAATTTGGCAAACAAATCCGGCGCTATTCTCCCCCTCCCCAGCAGGACCGACCCCCTTCTCAAATGTTCTGCCTAAAGGTAGTTCCTGACTTTTTTCCAGGATTTTTTCCCCCAAGATGTTATTTAATAGGCTCTGCTTCCATTTCCATTGCAAGACTCTGCATTTTGCCTCATTTTTTTAAAGATCTATCTTAAATGCCTGAAGCAATGTGTATCAAAAACCTAAATTCCTGATGAGTCAGGCATTGTTTAGTCATGCTAATTCTAACTTCTGGCAGATTCTTCCCATTTGTTGATGGGAACCACCCAACACAAATTTGTTATTATATAATTCAGTGTTCCTTAACCTCAGTGAATTTAAGATGCATGGACTTTAACTTCCAGAATTTCCCAGATAGCATGGTGGCTGGGGAATTCTGGGTGTTGCAACTTCAGACATCTTAAATTGCTGAGATTAAGAAACACCGACCTAGAGTAAGCAACACGGTGCCCTCACTAAGAAACTCTAAACTCGTAAGTTCTAAAATTGCTCCTACTACTTGGGGCTTATGAGGAGATGGAGTGATGGAGTAAACTTTGATTTTTTTTTATAAGATCATCACTCCTTCCAAGGGCAGAACATATATGAATGTGCTGAACAACTACTCCTTTTAGTATGATACAGGTTGTGCTAGACTTAGGGCCTGTTGCTCAGTGACCATTTGTAAGTTACAAAGGATCTACCTTGGGGCTACTTATGAATAGGATTCGAAGTTCCAATAGTCAGCCCCCATTCCCGTCTCCCGTGCAGTCACATGGCTGAACTTTGGGTGTTCAGCAACATGGCTGAATTCACAGTTGTTTGCAGTGTCCTGCAATCGCATGACCACATTTTATTATCATTTTGCAGAAAATTGGCACTTCCCGTTTTTGGCAAAATTGTGCCCGTAGCAAACTATTGGTTTGCTTAGCAATGAATTTACTTAATGGCTGCAGCAAAATAGGTCATAGAACCAGACCACGGGCCAATCACGTGACCAACCCATTTTGCAACCGTTGCGACTTATGACCATGATGAGCAGACTTCATTACAATCGTAAGTCAAAGACTACCTGTATGTTGGCAAATATATCTGAAAGCCATCAAACAGGAGGAAATTTAAATCAGATGTTCCCTCTGAAGCAGACCTTCATTCCCCTGCTCTAGCAGGCCCTCCAGGTCTTCCTGTCCTTGTTTATCTATTATGCAATATTACAGGAATCAGGGAGCTACTCAAGGGTTTCACCTTGAAGGAACTGTGCACTAAGGTCTCATCCAGGTCAATCACCACACATATTCGGCCCTGGTCTTGTTGAGTCACCTCAGGGAGAAGGCATGTTCCAGGAATCTAGAAAAAGGAGACGTGAGCTTAGCTTCCGCTGGCTGCAAGAACCACAGTTTGCAATAGGTGTTGTATCCTGTTTTAATTCTACAAGTCTAATTTTGAAACTTTATCTTACAGCTGTGCAAAAGTGCACAAACATAGCAACTGTCAGCAACTCTTTCAATCCAACAGATCTTTTCGCAACGTCAAGCTCCCTTGCTCCTGGGACAGATGCAGCTGGCTTTAAGGAACTGTTTGCAAATATTACCTGAGCCCTGTCTCGTGCATCACATCCCATTTCTTTTTCGATCTAAATTTCTGCCCTAGTCTGCTTTATATATGTCATGCATTCCCAAATGCTTCTGGGCAGCTTACAAAAAAAATATATGATGCTGTTTGGGAGGCATATTTAACAAGCTTCCTGCAGTTACATTGACAAGTGCAATATTTTGCCTTTTGAAAAGTTCTTGCTTCAGCAACTAATCCATCCTGTTTGCAGAGAAAAACAGCATGGCCAAAAAACAACAACCAACCCACAAAAAAAACCCAAGCCCAAACCTCTAATATTTAAAATGTGCATATCACCTCAGGTTTTAGACCTCACAGATCCTTAACCCCCACAATAAAGATACAGGTATCCTTGACTTATGACCATTCGATTAGCAACTGTTTTGAAATTATGATGGTGTTACAAAAGGGATGTAACAACTGGCCCTTGCACTAATGACGGTTGCAGTGTCCTTGGGTCACGTGATCAGAATTTAGGCAAGTGGCTTGCATTCATGATGGTTGCAGCATCCCAAGGTCGTGTGAGACCTTCCCATTTGAGACTTTCCCAGCCGGCTTTGCGGAAACAAGGTCAATGGGGAAGCCACCAGAGAATGTTGCAAATTGTAGTCATGGGGTTATCTCGCTTAATGACCAAATTCCTTAGCAAGAAATTTTCTGGTCTTAAGTCAAGGATTACTTGCACTCAAAAAATGCTTTTCTTTCCGTTAACTAACAGATCTATTTTTAATTTACTGTTATTTTTATCACAGGAGTACAATTAATACAGATGCTTTTAAAAATGTAGAATAATTCCAGCGTTATACGCTGTAGGCTCCCTATATCTTTCTATTATCTATCTCTCCATCCAATAATCACCCCATGCCCACGTTAAAGCCTCCATGACTTTATTTTCAGGCTAAGGATGTACCATTGTCCAGTTAAGTTTCAATTCTTTTTTTAAAACTTTCTAAATGCAAAGTGAGTTACATTATGTATTCTTTCAGACAAGCAGATCGCAGCATTTGGTCAAAGCCAGTTATGAACAGGTGAATTATGCCTTGAATTTACATACTGGGTTGACATATTAAAATTTTCTACAGCAAACATTAGATCCCTTTTCAAAGTAGTCATTGCCATTTACAGTTCAGAGAGCACATTTTATTTAAAAAAATTACGCTTGCTTGTGTGTCACAAGTTGATCTGTAAACTGCAACTGGTATTAATTGGGTATTTATTTATTTATTTATTTTACCTATCTTGTTTTTATCACTGAAATGTGTTTTTATGACTATACTGTATTTTATTATAATTAGTAAATATATTATACTTTTATTAATGTTTGCTGATCCCTGCCCTAAACACCATTTGCTGCCAAACTGGGCTACAAATTTAGGAAAGAAATATATACTGTTCCACATTTCTGTTCATACAGAAACTTGCAATTTTTTCAGGCAAACAGGTTAACAACTTCTCTCTTCATTGCCCCTCCATTCCTCATTATGGCATTTTTTTTAACCTCCAGGGAAAACTGTCTCTATTTATTTGACAGACAGCTACATTTTCCAGGAGCATGTTGATCCATGTTGCCGGCATGTGGGAGGACGCCTCTACAAGGCAGGGAAAGAGAGTGTGTATACACACCAAAAAAAGGAGCAGCAGTCTGCAAAGTCAAGAATATGTTCTGCCAAACTCCAAATTGTCGAATGGGGGAAAAACACTGCCACGATAAAGCCTGCTATATTTATCCCCCCGATATCTTGGTGACTTCATTTACACATACAAAACTATTGATGAACCCATTTCTGAATTCTATCATTTCTGGTTACAGGAATGGATTGAGACTATTAGCTTTCTACTTGGGATAAACACTTGTTGTAGTCCAATCTCTACTCTGAGTGAAGAAATTCCTGCTTCCCAAATGGGAACACGGTCAGTCCTGTGAATCCTCACCAGCAACTGACAGAGGAGAGTTTGAATTACACGCCATGCCACATTCCTGCTCTCAGAAATTTTTGCCCTCAACAGCAAGAGAACGTGACCCCCGTTTCACAGGAGATGAACAGAAATTTGCTTAGTCAGAGTAGGGTCATTTTCCCCTTGTTCACATATACAAATATGTGAGCACGTACACCCAGAGAAGCAAGGTTGTTAATACCAAGTGAGAGCTGGGTATCTACTACTTTATTTTCCTTCCTTGCTGCCACACACATTATTTGGATTATCACATCAAAACTGAAGTTAACTGCAACTCACTGAAAATACTGGCAATGTTAAACCAGCAGACTTGATTCATAGTAAGCAGGACCCCCGCAAATGCCACTGTTTGCTGTCCCTTACTGGGGATTTTCTCTGAATGGGGAACTCCCCAGGTCTGCCATTCATTTCCAGAGGGCAAATGAAGACTTGGCTCAAGAGCAGATAGAGATCTCTCTTGCTTTTAGAACAAACACATACCTGATAAAACTGGTATTGGAGACACTGCAACAGATCAGACTAAAAGGGGGGAAAAAAGAGGAGAGCAAAGATGTAGGTTTATGAGAAAGATGAGACTGTGACACTATTCTTCAGGGAATTTCAGCAAAGCCTCCTATCTCCCTCTGACAAGGAACAGCCATTGCAAAGGCTGGCTTCCCACACTACTATACATATTTATCACCCAGAACAATCATGGCACATGAAGAAAAAGGGTGACAGAGGAACTTTGAAAAATTACAGGCACGACATGCTTGAAAAGCTTAAGAGCAGTGTTTCTCAACCTTGACCATTTTAAGGCATGTGGACTTCAACTCCCAGAATTCCACAGCCAGCAATGCTGGCTGTGGAATTCTGGGAGTTGAAGTCCACATGCCTTAAAATTGTCAAGGTTGAGAAACACTGCTTAAGAGTGTATTTTACAACGTACTGAGGAACAGGAGAGAGGAGAACTTTCCCTTTCTGAGAACACAACTCACCAAGTTTAATTGTGCATGGTGGGAACTCTTCTCCTTAACACTTAAGCAGTGGAATAGGAAACCCAAGCTTATCCGTTAAAGGGGACTTTTAAGTCTGTTAATGCAGCACTGGTCTCCTCAATTATGCAGCAGATATTTAGGGCAAACAGATAGAAATTAAGCCGTGCTCTTACAGGCGGGGTTTTTTTTTCTTTCCAAAATAAAGAAATCGCAAGCAAAATAGATGCATTGCATCTCTGTTAGGTGTCATGGTTCCGAAAGTAGATGTTCTGGCTTGACATTAGGTTTGTATCTAATTTAGTCAACCACAGGCTAAATTTAAAAAAGCAAAGAGTAGGTGACAAGTGATTTTAAAAGCTCCTGCCCAGAAAAAGGTTTCCTATCCTTGCTATGCATAATGAGGAAGTTTTTCCTTTAATAGTGGAAATTAATGTCCTCTTTTTAAAGAGGCTATTCATCCACAGCTCAGAGACAAGGCAACTAAGCTATGTAGTTTTAAAGAAGGGATAGGTATACGTCACCAGCTATAAATTTAAGGGGTTTTTTTTCTGTCTGCTTACACAATGATAGAAAATAGAATGAAGTCCATTTCGAGATAAAACAGGTTTGCCTTTCACTGTCACACTCTCCCATTGCGATTAGCTGTGGCTTCCCAACCCATGGAGAAGCAGAGCAATCTTCATTAGGGGCAATTTATTTCCTCTTTCTATATCATATCACTTTCTGTAGATACCAGTACAGATACCAGTCTTTTCTCAACCATGTTTTCTAGATGTGTTGAGACTGCAGGCTTCTAACCTTTCCAGTTGCAAATTCTGGGAATTTCAGCCCTTACACCCTGACAAAAGTGTTGGATTAGGAAAAGCTGCCCTGATTTACAAAACAATTCTAAAAGCAATTGCTTTCAATACAACCAGGTACTTTCTTCATAAAAAGGACAAAAAGAAAGAGCCACTGGTGTTTTTCCGAGCACAGGATCGAGGGTTTGTTTGCGTAAACAAAACAAAAAAAAGAGAGATATACAGGTGGGGAGAAAATTAATAGCAAGAAAGGACATTCACAGACAGAATAGCAACTTGAATATTTGATGCCTGGGGAAGCAGGTAGAGGGTTATATCCTGTGGGCACCCACTTAACCTCTGGAATGCCAGAATCCAGAAAGGAAAAGGAACTAGATAAAGTAGCTGCCAAGCCCACTTGCTACGTTTGGAAACCCTCTGGGTGGGTTCAGCTGTCACTGCACCCGTGCTTCCTCACCTTGGCAATGGTGTTCGTCTCTTCCTTATGCAGCCCATGACTGTTGCCAAAGGCCGTCTGCCCCACATTCTGTGCACGAAGGCAACAGAAAAGCGCCTTGAAGATGCTCCGGCCACGAGGCTTCTTCGGGGAGGATTTGGACACCAACACTACAAACAGAAGAATAGATACAATAAGAACTTGTGGCAGGTCTGCAGCTCAGGAGAACATTTCATTCCCTCTGGAGCAGGGGTAGGCAACTTGGGCTCTTTTATGACTCGTGGACTTCAACTCCCAGAATTCCTGAGCCAGCATGGCTCAGCTTGGAAACCTCTCCCTTTCCCCTCAGCATGGCTGGCTCAGGAATTCTGGGAGTTGAAGTCCACGAGTCATAAAAGAGCCAAGGTTGCCTACCCCTGCTCTGGAGTAAGCATTTCTGGCAGGCCACCCTCAGGGACTTTGGATGACGATTTATCACAAATAATCAACTTTTTTTGGGGGGGGAAAGGAAATTGAATCCTTTTCCACACTCTCAACTGTACTCCACCTAGAGTGAGAAAACAGTATGGATCCATCAGCCATCAATACGTCTCATTTCTTCTTTGCTTTATTGCTGTCAATAAGTCAGTCTTCAGCTTTGGGGGAAAGGACTTCATTTTGTCAGAGCTTATGAAAAATAACGAACAGGCTGAATCTTGCCTCCATTTCTCACAATGTTCAGGAGAAACCAGCAGGTGGCACCATAGATCCACAAATATTGACCAATCCATGCATGCTCTTCCATCACTGACACTCTGGAGAAGACTGGGAAAACGTATGAAGTAGGGTTACAGGTAAGTCCTTGACTTACAATTGGTTGTTTAGTGACTGTTTAAAGTTACAATAGACTCCCTCAGAGCTACTTACAACCCCCCCACACACATGATCACATCTGGGCGCTTGGCAAATGGCCTGCACTTGCACCTGTTTGCAGTAATTCCAGTCATGCGAATATAATTTATAATGGGTTTTTTTTGACGGAAATCAGTGTTTATTTTTTTATTTACAGCAAAAAAAAAAAAAAAAGACCCTCTGGGGTCACTTAATGGTTGGTGTAAAAAGGGTTGTAAAACTGGGCATGGTTACATGGAGACTTGCTTAACAAACACAATTTATGACCGTAATTCTGGGTTCAGTTATAGCTATAAGTCAAGAACTACCTGTAGACAAGTAAAGTTGGATGGAATTACCTAGAGCAGGGGTAGGGAACCTTGGCTCTTCTATGATTCGTGGACTTCAATTCCCAGAATTCCTGAGCCAGCCATGCTAAGGGGAAAGGGAGAGGTTTCCAAGCTGAGCCATGCTGGCTCAGGAATTCTGGGAGTTGAAGTCCACGAGTCATAAAAGAGTCAAGGTTGCCTACCCCTGACCTAGAGGGGGAAAAAGGGGGGGGGGAAACTGCACTAATCAGACTTGCCTCTGGCTGTGGCCATTGTGTCACTGCAGACAGAACATAATCTAGAAAGGATTACTAAACATAGGGGCTGAAAAGCATGAGGCTCCCTATGCAAATGGGACAATTTCACAGGCAACCAACGAGAAGCAGGGAAACGACAGGCTATAGTTCCTAATTCATGTAGAACCCCCATTGGTTGGAAAAGGCTGTTTTCATCTGCTGCAGTTCTTTGCCCAGCGCAAGCTTCTTGCACTGCCTAAAAAGATCCATGAGGAACTGTTTACTTCAAAGATGGATTTTTAAATAAACAAACACCTTCTGCAATCAGGTAAAATTACTTTCTTAGAGGCTGCTTGCTATATCCTTTTCTCGAATACAGGTAGTCCTTGACTTAGGGCCGCCAC